GACCTCAAGTGATCCGCCTGCCTCGGCCTCCCAAAGTGCTGGGACTACAGGCGTGAGCCACTGCACCCAGGCTATTTTTGTTTCTTTTAATGTCCCTCTTTTGCCAGGTCCTGTGCCTGTACATCAGGCTCTCTGGATATGTGGGCTACCCAATAAATAAGGACTCCAGTGCACTTTGCACGGTGACCAGGACCTAGGAACGTTGAGCGGATGGGACTCCTGTTCTTTTCTCTGTAATGCAGGAACTGGAGGCTGGATTTGGAGTTGTGCCCGCGCATAGATAAAATGCTCCAAATGGCACAAGCCTCTTGATATTTGGATGCCAGAGTTAGCGGAAGCTGACAGTCAGCTGACTTCCAAGAAGTCTTATCTACATTTCTCTCTCTCTCTCTCCCTGCCTGGATGGACTAGTCACTGACTCATTTCCCTTCACAGGTGTATAAGCTCCTTTATGCTTCCCGTCTGGCAGATTACGGCCTCGTGTCCCAGGCCTTGCATTACTGCGAAGCCATTGGTGCAGCTGTCTTGAGCCAGGGAGAGAGCAGTCACCCTGTGCTGTTAGCGGAACTCATCAAGGTGAGCCTCTCAAAGGGTTCTGTGCAGTTGTTTTATCTTCACTATTCAAAGAATGCCATTGTAGAGCAGCTTAGACTCTACATTTCATCTTCTTTGAACCTGCCGTAAAATTGGAGCCCACGGCCGTCTTTGACCACGTATGCATGCCCAGATGCGATAAGCAGAGGCCCAACACTACACAAAGGATGCTCTCTGAGCGGGCGGTGGTGGGATTGGAGACTGGAAACCATGTCGGTGCTACTTGGGAAATTCATTTTTGCATCTGCTTTTCTGGTACAGTAAAACTACATGCTATGGTGAACCATTCTAATGATAAAAGCTGGGCTTAGAAAATATATTTTAGTGATTAAAAGAGTAAATGATCCTTATTAAAATGCTTTTAAATGCATGGAATATTTTATCACATGTGAGATACATTTAAAATAGAAAACAAAAACATATCAACCTTTAGTTCCTAGGGAAGAAAACAACAATCAAGCAAATAGTTGTTTCAATTAATTGAAGAAAAACCCATTAGCTAGAGAGTAAAAAAGCAGCCTACCCTTAAATTTTTGTTTTGCCTTAGATGAGGCCGAAGTGCTGGAATCTTTAACGATAAAAATTTGTGGTGGTGAGCCTCCCCATACCCTGAAGTTTCTGCCAACAGGTTGATGGTTGCAAGGAGCTCAGAATGAATGATTAGAAAAGTTTTGGTAACTAAAACTTGTTTATGGAATAAATCCTTGAAATACAAAGTGACATTAGCATCACCTGGGAGCGGGTTAAAAGTGCAGACTCTTCACCCCTGCCCAAATGTATGGAATCAGAATTAGCATTTTAACAAGTTTACAATTAGAATTCAAACAAAATTTGTATGTACACCTAAGTTTGAGAAACACTGTTACAGAGCAGACAGCTTTGCACAGAAATGAAGCTGAGTAACTGTTTCTCCTCATACTTTATTTAGAATCTAATACCCAAGACAGGTTAATGATTTATGTTGCAATTTTGGAAGGATGTCTGCTGAATTAGCTATTTTTCGATTATTTTTTATAATGTAATTTACAAGTGAGTTAAGGCTCTCTTTCTCCTTTTTCCTTGTTTTCTCTTCCCTATTGTCTTTCCGTTTCTCTTCCCCCTCTTTCCTCTCCTCTCTCTTACTTTCTGCCCCTAACCCATCTGGAAACCTGGCACAGCTAGCAGAGAAACTGAAGCTATCAGATCCTCTGGTTTTAGAAAGACGCAGTAGAGACAGGGACCTAGAGCCAGATTGGCTAGTGCAACTTCGGAGGCAGCTGGAGGTGAGTGGGGTTGGAGCCAGGGCAGTGGTGGGGGGCGGGTGTCGGCCTTTGTTTCCCTCCTCCCTCCCCTAGACATGGAACAGGTAGGCGCTGACATTAGCAAGTCCCTGGTCCCCATGCCTCGCCGTGGTCTCTTCCATCACCCATGAGGCACAGTTGGTGTCTGGGGAAGGGGTGGGACTCAGCTTCCTTGCCGCTGCTTGTCCCTGTGTGGAAGCGTTTTCCTATATTCACATGTGACACGTTGGGGCGCTCTTCCCAATCACTCTTGACACCCTTCCCTGAGGCCCCAGAGAATATGTTTCATGACCATCAAAGCTTCCCCATCTCTGCTAGGAACAATGGATCACAGTGGACCAGTGCCACTTTCATGTAATGTGGGGCAATTGCTTAAAAGACTTCTGGGTCTTTTCTTTTTTGTTCTGACAATCGCAAAAGCTGCTGGTTGTAATTGAAACAGTAATTGGAACAGGGCCTCCTCCATTTTCTTTTTCCCATTCTGCTCTGAAGGAAAAACAGGGTGGATTTTTTGAAGCACGCCCAGCCTTACCCCTTCTATCTGCTGCACGTGCTGAGGCCTACAGTTTAGTTCTTTCCATGCGCTCCTTCCTTCAGGGGAGGGTGGATGACTCTGGTCTCCAGCCATCTCTGCCTGGTCTGGGCAGAGTTGGAATCCCCATCCACATGACCCCCCAGGCCCCTAAGCATACGAGTGTTTCCCTTACCTTGTCATCCCCACTGGAAGTTTCTTTTTGGCTTAAGTTTTGAATCACTTTGTTTCTCTGTTCTTGTTTTTCCTTTGTGCCGCTTAAAAGGAATTTTACTTTATTTTAAATAGCAAAAGATAGCAGGAGACACTGGGGATCCTCATCTTACTCGCTCAGATATTTCGGGAGCCAGAGGAACAACAACAGGTACCCAAAATGATGAACTGAGCATATACATAGCTGATGCTCAGGATCTGATTCTACGAGACAAAGTAATTCACAAAATCACTCGCCCTTCCCTTCCCAGGGTGCCTGTCTTGCCTGTGTAAATCCACCCCGTTGTCCAGGCGCCTCCTCCACACAGCTCCTGCCAGCCTCACACATCCCCGACACTTCTAAATTCCCTCAGTCTGAGAGCGTCTGCTTCACGATTCAGATTTTTAAATACCTGAGTGTTTTTTGTGTTGCACTGTATTGTTAGCCAATTCTTTCTCCTATGTTAACTTCTCTCCAGCTGGATACATTTCTTGAGTCCAGAGATTGTGGTTCATCGGTATCATATGTTAGTGTTGGGGATGTCGGAAGTCCTTAAGAGTTTTGAGCTGGCAATTGCCAGATGACTGTGGAATAAGTATGTTTCAATGTTTTCACGGCATCTCTACTCTTCCCTTGGGATGCTTCCCAGTGGTGGGTTGACAGGCACCATATCCCTGGTTAACTCTGTACTCTTTCCCCAAGTTCCCCAACAGTAGGGTCAGGAAAGGGCCCTCATCTCTTCCCAGCCCTGTGTTCTTCCTCAGGCATGAACAAAGGGAAGGGAGGGCAGGGCAGGCCTTGGCTTCTTTTTCTCACTGTGTAGCAGGATCTGTAAAGGTGGGGGGTGGAGGAGAGCTAGGCTGGGTGCCTGTGGATGTTGCTTCCCCACAGCCCTGGCTCCTGGTGTCCAATGGAGCAGGCGGGTCAGCTACCCATGCCAGTCCTGTGACCAATCATGTTATATGTCCACACCTTAGTTTATGTTACCAGTCGGTTCTTTTCCAGGGCAAATGTACTCTGCTTCTTTAAGAACAAAGCCATGATTTCTGTGAGCTGGTTTAGGTTTTTAGCTGGAAGCTTTCTAAGTTTTAAATACCCAAGTCCATTAGGAAGTCCTTAAAGAAGAAATAATTTATCAAAAATTAAAAAGATGTGGAGTTAGATAGGATGGTAATTTCAGCCCTCCCATCCCACTGGCTAGAGGCTCAGAGATCATACAAGGTAGTGTTAACTTAAAAAAAAGGTCATACAATGTGTACATTTGGAAAGGAGACTTTATTTCTTACAAAGGGTTCCAGCCTGCAAGGTGGCCATCCCACAGGCTGGGAAGTATAGCCAGGCACTTTGAGGGAAGGAGAGGTAAGACAAGAATTTAAGTTGAATGGGTTGATGAAACATACGTATTTAGCAGGTTATAGAAGGAGCTGTGACTATTCACAAAGGAGGTCCTCACACAGGCCTAATGAGCTAACATGCATGTAAAACACGACCCATGTTCACCTTGGGGTGGAGACTTATCCTTTAAGCGTATTACAATTAGGCCTTACCTGTCAAAAGGTCTTTTCGGGACACAGAAGCACTCAAGTGGGGACCCTCTGTAAACTGGCCAGACCCAATTCATGGTTGGTGGTCTTCTCATCTGGAGAAAGTTACTGAAATCAGTCTTGTCCAGTCACAGCCGTGGTTATGGCTGATGGAACAGAGGCTCATTTAGTCAGCATTTGTGAGCGGAATGAGTTGTAATTGTTTTAACATTGCTCATCTCAAGGCCAGTGCTTGCTGAGCTGCTAGAGAAAAAAACCTCGTGGCCATGAGAACACAGTTTATTCTTAAGGTGCGGGACTTAACCGTTGCCTGGCAGGGCTTTAGGTTCCGTGTATAATTTGGTATCTTATGGCCACCAAGCCATAAGATCTGTTAGTCTTAAGATCTCGGTTTTAACATTAATGCTGGTCAGTTGTGTCTAAACTACAAAAGAGAGGGGGTATAGTGACTCTCACTTCCCATCCTGTCATGGCTGGGAACTCAAGTTTTAAGGTTTCTCTGGGGTCCCCTTGTCCAAGAGGGGGTCTGTTAAGTCAATGGACGGGCTTAGGATTTTATTTTTAGGGTACACTAGTGAAGGAAACAATTCCGTAAACAGCAATGAGGGTGTTACCATCACTCTGTGTTTTACTTGTCATCACGTTACTGGAAGCCACATTAGATAGCTTGTCCTTGTGACTGCTTTCCAAAGAAGACATGAGCAGGAATGTTTCTGGTGTGATCAGTATGCAAATGCCACATTTCAGGTCTCACTTCTTTACCTTCGTTCTATGTCCTTAGAAAACACTTTCTACCAGGACTTTTCTGGATTTCAAGGCTACTCTGAAGCCCCTGGGTACCGCTCAGCTCTGTGGCTGACGCTTGAGCAGACCTGCCTGCCCCAGCCCAGCCCACAGCAGCCCTTCCCTCTCCAGCCAGGCTCCTACCCAGCAGGAGGGGGTGCAGGGCAGACAGGGGCACCGATGCCTCTTTACTCAGTTCCTGAGATCCACCTACCAGGAACTGGCAGCAGCGTGGCAGTGACAGAGGCCCCTGGAAGAACAGTCTGGGAGGAACCGCTGCAGACACACCTGGGCCCTGGTAAGACCTGGTAGCTAGGGTGGCCACGTTGAGTATAGGGTCTGGGTAGGGAGGAAGCAGGAAAGGGAGGTTCTGGGACCAGTCAGAGGAGGTTGGGTTGGAGCTGGGAAAGACACAGATGCAGGGGTATGTGCCTGTTACTGAGGGCCTGCTAGTTTTCAGCCACTATACTGGTGCTTTGCATATATCTGAAGGAGATTGCTGTCTTCCAGCCCGGTCCATCTCTCCTCTGGGTACAGCAGGGCAAATGGAGCCACACCTGCCATCCAAATGATTACATAGTTTCTAGGAGAGAGATTACAGGATGGAGAAATAGAGGCCAAGTTCTCTTTCTCCAATCATCCTGCACCCAAAAGCTTACTATCAGGGTCTCCAGCAGAAACCCATGTGTCTGTCTTGGTCCCGAGTTTTTTCAGGCTCATCAGACCTTTGACAACAAGGGCTAAGTATGAGTGAGCAATGCTGAGCGATGCCAGGGAGATGCTGGAAGTCACCTAGAATGATTAGATCTTAGACCTTCCAGGATTAGGTCCTGTCCAAGATGGAGGCTCACATGGAGAGGAAGGTGGTGGAGGATCCCTGTGACCTCGCTTGATGCTGCTCTGATTTCCAAGATTCCCGAAGAGTGGCTGTGGAAGTAGAGGATGAGTTGAACAGCATGTCCTGGGGTGGCTGGGATTGAGCTGAGCCATGTGAGCATTCTTTGTATTGGCTGTGATTGGCTTGGGCTTATGGACTCGGAGCTTCTGCTGCAGTAAGAAAGCTGATTGTGTCCCAGTTACTGTTCTTCAGGATAGATGGGAAAAGCACAACTTCCCATTGCTATTTCCATTTCTGTTTGTGACTTAGGAGAGAACACAGTGTCTCAAGAAACCTCCCAGCCTCCTGATGGCCAAGAGGTCATTTCCAAACCACAGGTGAGAGCACACAGCATAAAAGATACCACTGCCCACTCAAACACTTCTGGTTTTTACCAGTTGCCCTGGTTTCTTGGCCACATGCAAGCTCCTCCTCAGCGTTGCAGCAGCTTTCTCTTCCACATCTCACCATGCCTCTTCCTATACCAACTCCTGGGAGCTGGGCTGGAGGCTGTGTTCTTGTTTACACTCAACCCCACCAACCTGTGTCCACGGGGTGAGAGGGAGCAACTGAGCTGGTTTGTTTTGGCCCCTCAGATCTCTGTTACCTCTGATGTCTTCTCAGTGCTGCACAAAACGCTTGCCATACCCTGTCTTGCCATGGAAGACTGTTGATATTTCCTTGTTTTAATTTTTACCTGGCTTTATTTCAAAGAAAGATCTGTGGTAGCTGTGACAGTGCCTGCCTCTGTCTTTTCTCCTCAGTTAGGCTCTAAGGTCCTGGAGGTGACCATGTCTGATGAATCATTCTATTTAGCTCTGATTGAACACACCCCTGCCCTCAGCAATGGGCAGTGTTGGTCCCGAACCTAAGGCGTTCTTCAGCTTCTTCTGGTTGGAGGGTTACATCCTATAACTTTTTAAAGTAGAAAAACAGGGGTACAGGTCTTAACAAACTTCTATGGTTTTGTTTTTTTTTTTTTTTTCCTGACTGAAAAGTGGTACATTATTGTTATAGAAAAATCTAAAAGTGAAGTATCATATAAAGAATCAAATATAACTCAATCCAACAGTCAAAGTGCTTTTCTTTTCTTACACTATTTTTCTGTATATGCATATGTATATACACATATATGTATATCTGTATATACATTATACACATATACATGTTTTTAAGTTGCTAAGAACATATGTATGCAAAGCTTTATTTCCTGTTACTTAACACTATATAATGAGATTTTTCTATGTCATTCATAAATATGATTTTTAAAATTATACTTTATGTCGTAGGGTACATGTGCACAACATACAGGTTTGTTACATGTATATACATGTGCCATATTGGTGTGCTGCACCCATTAACTCGTCATTTACATTAGGTATATCTCCTAATGCTATCCCTCCCCTCTCTCCCCCTCCAACAACAGGCCCCAGTGTGTGATGTTCCCCTTCCTGTGTCCAAGTGATCTCATTGTTCAATTCCCACCTATGAGTGTGAACATGCAGTGTTTGGTTTTCTCTTCTTGTGATAGTTTGCTGAGAATGATGGTTTCCAGCTGCATCCATGTCCCTACAAAGGACATGAACTCATCCTTTTTTATGGCTGCATAGTATTCCATG